AAAATGAATGGATTTACATCAGCGTTTGCTTGAAAAGGGTGAGGCCTCGCGATACACGCTATAATGATGTTTAAAGCCATAGTGAAAAGGTTAAGTACGCACGCCCGGTAAATGTCAGGGTGCTCTGAGGAAAGACGATAAAAAAACAGAGAAAGAGAAAGAAAGCGGAGGAGAAGAGGGTAGATAATGAAAAAAAATGAATGAAATGATAAATAAATGAAGGTTACGCATGGAATGTGTTTGTGTTTACATCTCGTTCACACGGTTGTTTGGGAATGCTTATCTAGAATGGATCCAGGTTTTACCGTTCGAGGGTGTCTCTCCTATCTTTGTTTTTCTCAGTTTGTGCCGCTTTATCGGAGTTTACTTCTGTTGTTCGGTCTTAACGGCATAGTTAGCTACTTTGCTTATTACTCTTTTTTAGATTTTTACCTTGTAATATCTTTAAATATGTGTGTGTAACAGTGTATGTGTGTATGTTCGTTTGTATGTAAATATGTGCATATTTTTGCGATTATCGATTCCCTCTAACTCAACTATCTATTCCAGCTATCTACCTACCTATATCAAAATATTACAGTATACTATATAATATATATATATATATATATAGTATATATATTATATATATATATATAATTATATATATATAACATATATATATATTATATACATTATATATACAATATAACAATGTGTGTGTGTAATATATGTGTTATATAGTATATATAACAATATAATTAATATATTAATAGTATATATTGTATGTATGTTTTGTATGTTTGTTGGTGGTTTGTCGTAGGGTGTGTTGGTGTGATGTGTGTGTGATGGCGCGCAATAGCTACCGGTGCTATGTATGTGTTGTGTTCTTCATTGGCATATATACATACATCTTATATATAACAAAAGTTAATAATGAGGATGAAACGGTTATACAGTATTATATATATATATATTATAGTATAATATATATATATATATTATAATATATATATTATATAAATATGTATATACAGTATATACATGATATGTCATATAGATTAGATTAGATATGTATATATATAATTATATTATATGTATGTGCATAATATTTCATATTTTACACAACACCACCACACACACCAGACCACACACACAACCACACACACACACACACGACACAACACACACACGACACACACACACACACCGACCACAACCACCCACACACAAGACCACAATACCATATATATAATTAACATTAATATATATATATTATTATACTATTATATATGTATATATATATTATACATATATATACACACATCATGTATATTATTGTATGTGCATATATATTGTATATCCACACCACACACACACCACACACACACCACACACACACACACACACACACACAACCACACACGCACACACACACACACACAGCCACACACACACCACACACACAACACACACACACCCACACACACAACACATATATATATATATATTACTATATATATATAATATATAATAATATATATATATATGTTATATGGTATTATATATTTGGCGTGTTGTGGTGTGGTGTGTGCGCGTGTTTATACATACCAATTAAAAATATATATATGCTATATATATATACATATAGTATATAATATCATATATTTATATATACATACATACAGTATATATATATATATAATATAATATATATATATACCTATATATATATAATACACTATATATGCATATATACCATGCAATGTATATATATATGTATATATATATATTCATTTAATATAATAATAATTATATATTTTATATAGTGATACTATAGTATATACATATTATATTGACATATTATTTGTTTATTGATACTTTAATACATTAAATGCATACCAGTACACACATAATACCACCATACATACACACACACATAGCATACACACATACACACACACACACACGCCGCATATGTGTATGTGTATAGATATATTAAATGTATGAGTATATGTATATACTATATATACATACATATGTGTATATGTTATTATTACGTATAATACATACGTTGTGTGTGTGGTTGTATGTAATTACGCACACGCAGACAGATGCCAATAGCAACCATCGCAATAGTCAAATCCTGGACGCTAAGATCCCTCAGTTCGGGAAATCTCCCTGGTTCGCAGTCCGCCGCGAAGGAGCCCTTGTCCCGACTGGCGTGGCGACGGCGTGGAGTCACCCTGCGTCGCCGGCGTGGATTTTGGTATTTGCGAGTCGTTTCAGTTCGCGTGAGATTTTGTGAACTGAATGCTGCTTATTTTGGTGTGATGATTTAGATGGGTTTGCAGAGAGGGGAGAAGAGAGCAAAGAGTATTGAGAGAGAGAGAGAAAGAAAGAGTGGGGGGGGGGAGAGAAAGAGTATTGAAAGAGAGGAGATATAAAGAAAAAGTGAGGGTGGGGGGGGGGGGTAGAAAAAGAGAAAGAGATAGGATGAAAGAAATGGGGAAGAGAATTT